CCTCTTCCCGCGGGCGGTTTACCTCAGCGGGACGAGCCGTGTTGGTAAAGGGGCTTTTTGCTGGTAGGACCGTGCCTCCTGCCTGTCCTGACGCGGTCCTGTTGGCCTCTGCCGGCAGGCGGTGGAGCACAGCGTGGCTTTAGAGCAGAGAGGGTGTGAGAGCAGCCACGGGCAGCACACGCCAGGCGCTCTCCCAGCGACGTGTGTGTGGCTCCAAGGCTCCTGCCGCTGGAGATAGTCTTTCCAGCTTCCTGGGAGACGTTTCTGCTGTTAATTTGTTCGGTTACTCTTTGATCATACAGGCGGTTTTGGCATCCACAACTGCCTGGAGCCGCTTGCTGTGGGAGAGGATAATTGGCCGCGGTCGCTCAGATGTGGTGCCGGGCTTTTCAAACGAGCAGCTGCTTTGCTTGGTTTCAGAAGTTACTTGGTCTCTAAATTTCAAAACGTAACTCTGTATTGATGGTCTTTTTGTGTTTTTCTCTAATAAATTGTGTTCCTTAGGCAACTTGTTGCAGCGCTGGAATGTGCCCGTAGAACTGCAGAGGAGCAGACAAGTGGCTAGCTCTGGTGTGCCCGGGGGCAAAGGCGATAGTTCTGTTTTTGTCCTTATTGTGGGCTTGTCAACCTTAGGAGCGGGTGCCTATGTAAGTAGCAAGGCAGTTCGTGGAAAGAAGCTGCAACACATCTCTCCTCTCGGGCATTTGCTGTCTTCCAGTTAACTCGGCGTAGCTGTTTATCTCTGTAGATCTTTCCTTCTCCAGAAAACCTCAAGGGGAGCTAACTGAGCTGGCTGGAAATTAACTTCTTGTGATATTTTTTTGTTTGACCTGTAATTTCAGTTACTTTGTAGGTTACTTTACTACAAAGGCACCCTCTTCTAACATGCTGTGACCCACCACAGCTCGCTCTGTCGCCTTGTGTGCGACAGCGGCACACAGCTCCTGTGGGGAGGTGGGTGGCCTATGCTTTTAACGCCCAAGTAAACCATTCTTTGCCAAACCTCCGTTTGGACCACCAGCCTTTAGCTATGTTGGTCTGCCAAATCAACCCAAAGTCGCTGAGCGTACCTGTATGCCCTGCTGGAAGGATCCAAAAGGATAAGGCTTTTCAGCCTGGCCTGGGGAGTGAATCGCATTACCTTGGAGCGGATGGGTCCCGAGTTTACATCATACAAGTCTTTGTTTCAAATTCTGAGAGGATCATATTCGTTCAGAGTTCCTAGGCCTGATTTCCTCCTGATGAAACCCTTCACGTGCAGAAGGCTCCTGGGAAATAGAAGAAATTCAGAACAGGGCATGGGGGAAAACTCTTTTCCCTTTAAATCTTCTTTACTGGACCCTGCTGTACCTTTTTTGACGAACAAGGTGACTGAAATTACAAACCACGTTCTGCTTTCCCCAAAAAGTCCTTAATGTTCAGCCCTTTCCCTCTCTTCTCTTTCCTTGCCTGTCTTCACCTACAGTTTTGCAATGTCCTCATCTAAGATGCCCTTCTAGATCACTGGCGTCTGCAGGTGTTCCTGGCAAAGCTGGCAGCAACCTATTGCTGTACTTAATTGTAGGAGGAACAGTCACTGGGACAGGAGCTTACGTAAGATGCTTAAATAAATGTGTTTTAACTGGGGAGGGCGGAGGGCGGGTGCCTCTCTCTGTGTCCTACACGTGAGCCGTTTACTTCAGCTAAACCGTCTGCGTGCTCCCTGGCCTCAGGTGTTCCATTTCAAGGGACATTGTCAAACAACTTGAATTTATGGATTTGGTATTCTCAAACATAGTGGGGAAAACGGCCTTAGAGATGACTTTTCCACGTTAAATGACTCTGAAACCAAACCCAGCCGTTTTTGGTTTGTAAGCGGCGGGCAGGCACGAGTCAGTTAACCCGTCTGCTCTGGCACCAGCAGTGCTGGCCTGCAAAGCCTTGAAAGAGAACTGAAAATTGCAAAATGAAAACTAAATACGAGTGGGCTGGAGGAAAGGACAGAGAACTGGCTTGTGACTTGTGCAGAGCAGAGCGCAGGTCACTCCGGCATCCGGCCGAGCAGGCAGCCGTGTTTCTGACGGGAGAGGCCTTGGCACTGTCCCTCTGGAAAGGGTCACCCTGCAAGCCTGGTTTGGTGTCCCACATCTCTGCGGTGGTCGTTTGTTTCTAAGGGGTCACACTTGATTTGCTGTATCTGCCCGTTGGCTTGAAAGCTTCACGGTTCTGCCTGCAGAGGCAGTTGTGTCACCCTTAACTTTTACGTGTTTAAGCAAAAGACTTTAAAAACATCTTTCCTTCCTTTCAGCACTGCTGAGTTCTTGTTTTCTGATACTTTTGCCGTTGTGTCGGTTCCCCGCATGCGCTCTTGTCTGCCTGCGCTCCCTGTCCTGCCTGGCATTACGTTCCTCAGCTTGAGGCCGTCTGCTGGTTGTCCCACACCTGACCGTGGGGTGGGTAACAGGCAGAATGTCTCGGGGGCGAGAGGGGCTTCAGCTCCCCCAAGGGTTGTCCCAGCCTGGTTTGGATGTCACAACGCTCGGTTAGCTAACGGCAGGCGGTTTGGCCTCAGCTGCAGCACTACCTGCCGTGCCTTCCCAGGCAGGAGGCTTTCGTTTCTTGCTGGAAATGTTCCAGCTTTGATACTCTTTCACGATTCAGAATAGAGTAACTGCATCGATGGTTACGTCTCAGACCTTCTCGATTGGGTTTTTCTCTTTTGTAAGCAATGCAGAATGGAAGGTCACGTCAGGCACACGTGATGTGCATTATTCGCCAGGCTAGGTTTTGCCTAAAAAAAAAAAAGTTTGCTGCCCTCTAATTTCCTCGCTCTGGGGGCAAACACCGTGCTGTGACCTGCTTCCAGCAGCCCCGTTCTCTTTTGCCGCTCCGCCAGGTTTTCTTGGAAGTTAAAAGATGTTCCCCCCTTGTCTGTACCCCTAAGGGGTGTGCCCAGAACAGGCACGGGCTCACGCTGTACCCCGAGCCGACAGACAGACAGAGGGTCAGCGTTCAGACGGGGGGATCTCCCGCTGGAGGCTGTTAGGTGGAGCAGCCACGCTCCTGTCCGAGGAGCACTGCTGGCATCCGTGGTGCTGCCACTAACGCCCTGCCTGTCAAC